CTTCGGGGATCTCTCGAGGTCTTTAACTTCCTTCTTCTCGTTTACGACATGAGCTAGGAATTCATGACACTCCTTTCGCAGAAGTTTTTGGGCTTTGATGTACGAAATGATGCGAAGGTTTGAGCTGAGTTTATCACCATAGATCGTGAGGGTTTCTCCAGAGGAAAGATTCAGGCGGATAACTTGTTCGTAACAAAGGATATCAGCATAATTGGGGTTGAACCAATCCATGCCAATGATAATATCAAATCTTTTTATGGAAACTGGATAAGGTCGATGGGAAAGGAATGATCGTTTAGGGTAAGGGTACAGCCGATGAATATGTTGTTAATGCTCTCTTTCTCACCGTTAGCCATCTCGATGGTAATTATTTCGGTTAGGGGTTGAGGTTTACATTTGAGGAGATGCTTGAATGTATGGCTAATAAAACTTCTCCCCACACTAGAATCGAAAAGAATGCATGCATAAGAGTTGTCGAGGAGGAACGTACCCGTAACAACTGTAGGGTCAACAACTGCCTCCTTTTGCCCCCATCGCTAGAACTCTCCCGGTGTTACCAGTTGTTGTTGCCTTCGAGAAGTTTCTTTTATAATGACCGACCTCCCCACAACCCTAACAGGCTTGACCCACACCTGCTCCAGATGCTTGATTGGTTGGTTGGACTGGTGTTCTACAACTTCTAGCCATGTGACCCTTCTTGCCACAGTTGTTGCAGAGCATTTCACGACATGGGCCGAAAATGTGATGATTATAGTTACACTTTCTGCACCAATGGAGGGTACCAATATATCTACTGGTAGGTACTTGAGTTGCAGGAGCAATGCCAAGAGTAGTAGCAGCGTGAACTGCCACCGTATTTTGTTTCTTGGAGGGCTCCTACGAAGATTGGCCATTTCGTTGCTTCCAGAACTTTCTTTTCTCACCAATCCCTTTTACTGGTTTGGGAGAGGCTGTCACTTTATCCAGATCAACCCCGTGATCTATGAGAGTCTGCGCCAGACACTTGGTGCAGTCAAAAGTGGTTGGCCTGGCAACCAAGACATTTCCTTGAGTTGGGGGCGTCAATCCCCAAATGTATCTCTCTATCTTCTTGCTTTATGGGGTGACCATTCCTGGGAAAAGAAGTGTTAGGTATTCAAACCTAGAAGTGTAGGCAGCAATGTCGGAACCCTTCATCTTTAGGTTCCATAGTTCGTGTTCCAGTTTCTGCATCTCGCCCTGTGGACAGTACTTAGCAAGCATGAGCTCTTTCAAGATCTCCCAACCCATAACATTTGCTACAGACAGGGTTAGAGATTTGACCCGACTATTCCACCAGGTCAATGCTCTGTTGGTGAAAGTGCAAGCAACGAATTTCACCTTGTTGGCTTCAGAACAAGAGCAAATTTAGAAGATAGACACGATCTTCTCGAACCATCGAGTCAAGGAAATAACACCTACGTTGCCGTCGAAAGATGTGAGTTTTGCATTCATAAAGTCTTTATAGGAGCACTCCTTCTGATGCCCATGACCACCTTCATGTTTTTGGGAATGTATACCACTCCCGGAACTACCAGAACCACCAAGATTTATCTGTGACAATGCGGCAGTTACTGCTGCCTGGAACATAGCGGGATAAAACGGAGGAGGTGGTGGTGGTGTTGGATCCGTCGAGGAATTGTTGTTCTTCTTGTTGGGTCTTTTCTTTGGAGGCATCTTGTTCTATTTCAGGAAGAAGAAGATGGTAAGTCTCTTGGACTTTCGAGTTAAGAGATATGAAACAAGGTATATCTCTATATGATAAATAAAGTGTTCTACTAAGCGATATAGAATAAAAGGGTTACTAAAGCAAGTAAACTATCGCTAAGAAAGAATGAGTAGCAACACTTGGAATAAATCTCTACCATGTATTCAACTCTGATTAAAATACTCCGATAGTATTTTATGTTGAATGCTTTGTTCTATCGATATCTTGTGGTAGGAATACTTGGTAAGTTTTAGGCTTGCTGCAACACCACAATCACTCCAAAGCACATGTTGGTCATGTCTCAAATGAATATAGTTGATGAGGCTATATTGACCCTAGACATGATTATATACTGCCCAGCTTTAACCGCAATATCCAACATCCAAATACTTTTGTTTTGTTCTACTAATGCTATTGTTTCTGGTATGTAGGTATACTTGTATACTTTTTGTGAAAATACGTATATTTTAAAAGTATACTTTTAGTTCAGAGCACTTTGGCCCCTTAGTGTTTATAGTTGTATATTATGTAAGGTTTAGTATACTTAGTTCACTATAAACAATAGCTCTGATACCAATATGTCACACCCCCTGTAACGCCCGTAGATCATGGCTAGTCAATTTAGAGACGTTAAGCGTCAAAAATGACTTTTTGATGGAAAATTATTTTGAAGGAATAATCTTAACTAAGTTGTAGTGTGTGTTACAAGGATTTTGTACATAGAAAGAACGCCAAAATCCGAGTTATAACGAAGAAGTTATGACCTGTCGAAGTTTCGCGACATAACCGGCACGACGTTGAATGACGTAAAAAGTGAATTTACGTTAGAGTTACGTTTAGCCTTAGCGATCTAAACAAAAGTCATAGAGTTCGTTAAACCATGAGCGTGCATAAAAAGAACGTCCGAATCTAACTTCGTATGAGGAAGTTATGATTTTTCTAAGTTTCAACTTAGCGGTATGCAGCCCGAATACTCGATTTGAGATCGAGCGGTTTTTAGCCGAAACAATCTAGATGAGAATCGAAGATCTTGTTGATACTAGTGCAACGGTAAAAAAAACAGACGCAAATGGACGTCGGATGAAGAAGTTATGAATTTATAACAGAGTTTTCCTGTCCCGGTTTACTAAAAAAATGTAATTAAAATAAATTCAAAATTAGCTGACGGAGTCTAAACGAAAGTTGTAGATCGTAGTCTCACCTATGCGGGGATATAAATAACGTCAAATACGGAGCTCGTGTGCAGAAGATATGAATTTTTTAAGTTTATTAAATAATTAAAGTATTTAATTTAAATATAAATTCGGATATTATCCAAAGGGGGGGAGTCAGCGGCCTTATCCAAATTACGCCAAGCGTAACTCTATTTACGCCCAGCGTAAATCGTGAATCCAGCCCCTATATAAAGGGTGTGAGGCTTCCTTATTCCTTTGCTAATTTTCTCTCCTCTCTCTCCCATTTTACCTCGTTTTTCGTGCAAGAAATATCCCGAAGCCCCGATATCATTCCCGAGAAAAATAGTTTTCGAGCCGAAGCTCTACCCGTGTGAATCCCGGTTTTGAAGGAAACATCCCGGTTTCGTTGCAGAAGATTATTTCAAGAGCCGTAGTGTTGTATGATAATCTTCTAATCAAGTGAGTTTGTGGTTATTTTCTTTTAACACATAAATATGAAGTATTTGCTTTGAAATATGTGTTATGTGTATATATATTGTTGTTTATTTGAGATGAGTGTGGAATGGATGTTTTATATAGTTTTTAAATGAGTTAAACTGTATATGTATTTTATATCTACAAACATGTTGGGTAGAACATGGGAAGATGAGATAGTTGGTGTGTGATAAAATGATAAGTTGGATTAGACCAAGAGGTTAGTTTTAGATCCGGGAGTATGGATCAGGTAAAGAGATAAAACTTGTTATTAGTCCGGGAGTATGGATTAAGACTAAGTTAATTGTCCCTAGTCCGGGAGTATGGATTGGGCACATTTATTGATCCGAGAGTATGGATCATATAAGGATTAAGGTATAGTTAATTGTCCCTATTCCATGAGTATGGATTGGGTACGCTTATTGATCCGGGAGTATGTATTAGATCAGGAGGTTAGTTTTAGATCTGTGAGTATGGATCAGGGGAAAAGGTTAGTTTTAGATCCGTAGGTATGGATCAGGTGAAAAGGTTAGTTTTAGATCCGTGAGTATGGATCGGGTGAAGAGGAAAGTTTTAGATTTGTGAGTAGAGATCAGATAAAGAGGAAAATTTTAGATACGAGAGTTTAGATCGTATCTTTGTGAGGATCGATGGGGTGGGATAAGAGTTGCCTTTATATGGTGAAATCGTACAAGTATTAATGTTCTATGTAACGCCCGTAGATCAGAGCTAGTCAATTTAGAGACGATAAGCATCAAAAATGACTTTTTGATGAAAGATTATTTAGAATGAGTAATCTTAACTAAGTTATAGTATATGTTACAAGGATTCCGTACATATAAAGAACGCCGAAATCCGAGTTATAACGAAGAAGTTATGACCTGTCGAAGTTTCGCGACAGAACCGGCACGACACAGCGCGGCGTAAAAAGTGAATTTACGTTAGAGCGATATTTTGCCTTAGCGATCTAAATGAAATTCGTAGAATACGTTAAACCGTGAGCGTGCATAAAAAGAACGTCCAAATCTAACTTCGTATGAGAAAGTTATGATTTTTCTAAGTTTCGACTTAGAGGTATGCAACCCGAATACTCGATTTGAGATCGATCGGTTTTTAGCCGAAACAATCTAAACGAGAATAGAAGATCTCGTTGATAGTAGTGAAACGATAAAAAGATAGGCGAAAACAGACGTCGGATGAAGAAGTTATGAATTTATAACGGAGTTTTCCTGTCTCAGTCTACTAAAAATAATATATAAGTAATATATTTATAATATATTAAAAATAAAGTCAAAATTAGCCAACATAGTCTAAACGAGAGTTGTATATCATAATCTCACCTACGCATCGATATAAAGAACATCGAAAACGGAGTTCATATACGAAAGTTATGAATTTCTGAAGTTCGGGGCGCGAAACCCCAAAACTGTCAGATACCACGACGTGGCAAGTCTTCTGACACCTCCTAGAGTCCCCCAGACACAACTTGTGATGACGCATGCAGTGACGACCAAGCCCACGACGTGGAAAAAGGTGCCACGACGTGGCAAGGGCAAATTTTGCCCTATAAATAGATTTGAAGGGCCAGCCGTTTAGGGTTGCTATTTTCTCTCCTCTCTCCCGTTCTACCTCGATTTACGTGCAAAGAAGTATCCCTGAAGCCCCGGAATCATCCCGAGACCCGAAGCGAGTCCCGAAGTCTGAAGATCCCGAGAAGAAAAGAGTTTCCGAGTCGAAGCTCTGCCTGCGAAAAGCCCGGTTTTGTATGTTTCAGTAGTCGGGGTTTGGGCTTTGAGGTGATCGAACAAGGAGCCCAAAATCGAAAGCATTTCATCGAATTTATTGTTCGGAACATCGACAATGTTCCAACATGCTCGGAGCAGCTTGATTAGGACATGTTGCATGATTAGGTTCATCTCATATCTTTTCTTAATCTCCTTCTCCAACCTTTGAATTTGTTTTTCATGATTCACATGAGTTCGTTCGATCATTTCGTTGGTTGCACTGATCATGCCGTCATGAATCTTGAGCATCGTAGTGGTGGTGGAGATGTGGTGATCAAGGCTATCATCGTATTTCTGTTCAACTTCCTCCAGGGTATGCTTGAAATCGGAGAGATATAAGCTGATCAAGTTGATTTGCTCTTTCGATTTCCAAGGGACCGACTTCTTTGATCTCAGAAAGAGATTTAAGAATAACGTCAAGTTTGGAGTTGAGGCTTGTGACTTCTTATCAAGCTTTGCATCGAGTTGAGCCACAATTTTGTCGAGAGAATTGACTTTGGAGACAACACTTGCCACATTGTCTCGGAGTTCTAGTAGGGAAAACGAATCCGCGATGTTTTCGTCCAGGGATCCGGTGTCCGGGGTGGAACTCTCAGACTTACCATCTTTGGCATCATGTGGTTCAGAAGGAGAGGGATTTGTCTCTATTTTGTTGCCTTGATTGGGATGAAAATTTTCAAGTCATTTATTTCAACTTGAACTCACTTCAACCCGACTTATTGTTAGCGCTATGTCTAATAACAAAGAATAAAGACACACATGAATAACAAGCACGATGTATGGAATTAGACTAGAACAAATGAAAATATATAGAAAAATTATGCACTCTGTCAACCTACAAAATCTCGACCTCATGACCTCAAAATTTTAATACTCAATATTTGAACTTTGAAATTTGAAACATAGGATTAGATGCTATGAAGTTGATGTTTGACCGATTAGTGTGATGGGTTTCTAAAATGAGAAAAAAAATATTTGCCTGTTTCTTACGTATAAAGTAATCATCACCATTCACCACATAAATGAATAAAAACCCTTGAATACGTGAATACGTGGTTACATATATATCTTGTATTGGACTCTTGGTTAGGTTATTCTAACATTATTTCATGGGTCGAACTCGAAATATATATTAACCCAACAAGTTCTAGTCCAGAACCTTACCCAGTTTACTTTTCCACATTGGCAAAATGGAGAAATGATACTTGTGATTTAGAGATACTCAAGAGGTGTTTGGCATTCTTTTGAAATAAGTTTTTGGATTTTTGCCCTTTTCAAAAAATCAAAAGTTAAAAAAATTGTTTGGTAACTTCAAAAGATTTTTTAAATTAAATTTTTGAGAAGAAAAAAAAAAGAAAAATGAGATGGTTAAGAAGTCACCAATCTATGACTTCTACCAAATTTTGACTTTTTTTTCTTTGCACCTTCAAAAGTTTATACAAACATATATTAAAACTTTATTTTGGAAAAAGACATAAATCAAAAAGTCTTTTTGTAAAATGATTTTTTAGTTCGAAAAGCTATCTCAAACACCCCCAAGATGCCAAAAAAAAATGGTTTGGAATCTAAAACCAGTTTTGGATCCAATCTGACTCGAAATAGAAACCGATTTAGATCTGAACCGATGATTTATACCAATTTGAGGACATGGGTCATTGGATCCAGTTTAGCCAGAAAGATTTGCGATCCGTTTTTTAATTCATTTTGGTCGTTTGAAGCTTTTTTTTCCCTCAAACTGTGAAATAGTTGTTTTTGTGCCCAAATACCATTTTCACCCCTCATTTGCTAGTAATAGTATAAATCGATATAACATGTGTTGTTTAAATCACACCACTCTAAAACACTATCTAATCTCTCAAAACACAATTGTGCTCACTGCTCACTAGTTTTCTTTACCCGTCTTTACAAACAACAGAAATCGGAATATGGTTAATCACAATCCTCCCTTGGTATCGGAGCTTCTTAAAACAATTTAAAGGTTGTCTTCTTTAAGGAAGACAAAAATACGACATTGAGAAACCACTTAAACTTGTATTGTAAGACGATGAAATTTGGTTCGGATCAAGATAAAGGTATTATGTCAAATAAAGGCACTATTTGGAGTTACGATCAAAGTTTGGTCTAAGAAAGAAAGACAACATCCAAGATTCGAGAAAATTTACCTTTTAAATGTTTTGAGTCTTCGACAGCCCACGACTGACAAAGCTCATTCAAGAAACTCTTCAATCACATTGTTGTCGCGTAAGTCGTTCTAAATATATGGAAATTGCTAAAAAAAATGAAATGATTCCACGTAACTATTCAATCACATTCTTGAGTGAGTGTTCTCGTGAAAATATCTTTAGCATTGTTAGAATTATTCATTGGTTTTTACATGGCTTCTAGGTTGGAGATTAATCTTCAAGAAAACCTATTTGTTTGAGGAGAAAGTTTGCTTGACATAAGTAGATAATCTTGTTCTTATTAGTAGGTGTAACTCAACTATTCTTCCTTTTACTTATTTCATTATTTGGGATTTCAAATGATTCCAATATGACTTGGATTGAGGGTGGAAGGTGTTTCTAACATATTCAAAAATAAGCTTTCTAAATGGAATGTAAAAATGCTATCTATCCATAATATGTATTATGTTCGTTTCTTGGTTCCTCTATATCCATAAATTTGGTTCTCGGTTTTTTAGTTTAAATTCCTAACAACTAAGTGTGAATTAGGTTCCATTACAGCTACAAATCTTGTTTGTGCACCTCTACAGTCAAGAATCTCTTCTGTTGTGATAACATGTATCTTATGTGCCAAATACCAGATACGCACAAATACAATGTTGACCAAATAACTAGGGTTTTGATGACTAACAAACAGATCCTAATTTTCACTACTGAGCTTGCTTTTATAGGGTTTTATACTTTCTAAAATGAATCAAATTGGGCAAGTGAAAAGTTTTACAATATTGCTAGATCTGTATAGATTTCAAGCTTTTATTAAGTGAAAGTGGAACCGAATGCATCTACATAAGCAAGTAAGTGAACTATTATTACATACAAACTACAAAGTGAAAGTGCTACATATCTACCAAACCTGCAATAGGAGTAGTCTTTTCAAAACAATACCAAGGAGCTTGCCACTTTGCATCCTCAAGAACAGCACCAACTTCGAATGTCATCACGTGTGCTGCTCTTCCTGCAACATCATATCCCACACAATTGTTCAAACCCTAACCCTAAGTCCCACAATGTCACCAAATAATGAATGAAATTAAAGAATCTGAAAGGGGGGGTATGTTACGTACCAGTGTAGAAGACCCAATGAACAGGTCGTCTGGTGACAACATCCTCGTAGTAAGTAATGAAATCGGCCTTCTCCCATACGTAACAGAGGAAGCCGTCGACTTGTCGTTGACCGACGTAGGTGGCACCGTCAAGCCAATTAGGGCGAAGAATTCCGACTTCCAGCTGAGCGGAGGAACATTCGCGATTGGAATCGAGGGTATAGAAGAATGATGTACCGTTGTTCCATTCGAGGTCGTACTTGATGTTTCCGAGCTGCTGTTGGATGATGTTAAAGTTACGGCCATTGGGCCAATCGTACCAAAGATCTATCAATTGAAGTTCGCCGGTGTAGTTCATGACAAGAAGTGAGTGGAATTGCTCCGGCCATGGCGTTGGCTTGGGCGGCTCCTCCTCCTTTGTCGATAATGCTGCAATGGTGGTTAATAGTAAGATTGTTACGAGTACCTGAACATGTGTAGCAGACGGCGATGTTGAAGAGATTGACATCGTCCTAAGTGCTTCCGCTTCTATCTTCAATTATCTATTTTTTGAGACAGGAGTTGGTGAGGCCGAGAGGCAGAGGATAGGGATAAGTATTTGGGCAGATAAAAAGTAAAATTGCATACTTTTTTTATTTTTAAAAAGAAAAAAAATTAAGTTAATCTTACTTTTTCTTAGTGAAAACTAGGTTAAAACTCGTGGAATCCACGGGTTCTGTTTTTGAATTGAATTTAAAAATTAATTATTTAATAAAATATTATATCAATAATTCTGATAACTTATAAATTGTAATATTGAATATTTAAATAATTTTTTTTATTGGTAATTATTTAATTACTAACTAAATGGGAAGTATTTAATTAGGAATGAAGATTTTTTGCTAGGAAAATACCAACAAAGTTTTCATTTTTTTTAATACAAATTAGATAAAGTACAAATTAAGCACCCTCAATCACAATATAATTTCACCTGTAAAAGTATCAAAGTATCAAGCTCAAGATAACTTTAACATTTGAACAATAATAACCACATATGCAATATCGGCCAAAAATTTAAAATATTAAGAAAAAATTTAAAAAAATTTTACAAGCAAATATAATTAAAAGTTTATAAAATAAAATGAAAAACCTTTTGAACAGATTCATGAAGAAAAATGCGAAGTCAAGAAGGACTGTGAAATGTGATTTGTTCAATATTGGAGTCAAATGCAGTTCACGTGTAAAAGTAAAAATGTTCGCATTTGGTAATACAAATCAAAATTGGGTTTCGCATATGAGGTTGTATGGATTGGGGTTAAAGATGCGAAGGTGATTATGGTTAATATTCATTTCGTATTTGGTGAGACAAACAACTCAAATGCAAATGAACTAAAAAAAAATGACTGGAACATGCGAAGAAAGAGGGTGAATGAAGAATGTGAATTTTACAGTAGAATGCGAATTGGGGAAGAAAGATAAGAATTTCGAATTTTTATTATACAAATTGACTGATTTATTTATCTGTCTTAATTGTTAACTGCGATATATCAAATACTTATCAAGTTAGGGGCAATATGGTCTTTACATATATAGCAATATTTTTATTATACAAATTGATTGATTAATTGATTTGTCTTAATTGTTAATTGCGATATATCAAGCAGATGAAGTAAGATCGATCGTTTTGAAATGCGATGTCAAATCTGTTGAAGGGTGTAATGATTATTGTTTTCGAATGGTATGTGTTCGATTGGTTATTGGGTTTGTATACAGGGATCGATTTTAAACGGAGGTTAAAGATTGTGGGAACGAATAACTGTTAAATTCGATGTTTTCTGGAACGAAGCCTTGGTTATTAAATGAATCATACGAAGGATCTGTTATTTGATTTTGGAATTGGGGCGAATAATCGAACGATTTGGAGTTGCGAATTTGATTTTGAAAAGCCAATCAGTTGGGTTCGCATATGAAAACAGATAAGTTTTGATTTTGGATTCGCAATTGGGTTAATTGGGTTATTGATTGAGGGACGATTCGTGAAGAAAAATGCGAAGTCAAGAAGGACTGTGAAATGTGATTTGTTCAATATTGGAGTCAAATGCAGTTCACGTGTAAAAGCAAAAATGTTCGCATTTGGTAATACAAATCAAAATTGGGTTTCACATATGAGGTTGTATGGATTGGGGTTAAAGATGCGAAGGTGATTATGGTTAATATTAATTTCGCATTTGGTGAGACAAACAACTCATAAAATATGACTAACCAAAGAATGTGTCTTTTGGGCATGTTTGTTCTATGATAGAATTAAAGTCAACAAACATAAATCCATTGACCGTACCCGAGAAATCATCACATTTTTTTAGGATGCTTTTCCAATCCAAAGTTAAGGTCTGTTTATGACTTGTATAACTAAAACCATTAGTAACAGCAGCCATATTGGGTTTTATAACTATATAACTTTCATCTTCCTTTAAAAGATGACGAAATCTGGAGAAATTCTGATTGAAGACACGAGCTTGGTATTGTGTACCCTGTTTAAAAAAAAATTAAAAATTATTATGTTCATGAAACATGTCTAATATTGAATGATGAATAAAAAATATATCAAATACAACAAACCTCCTCATCCATGATGATCATTTCAATGGAACAAACTTTATTATTTCTGACAAAGTTCTAAATTTTAAGCACCCGAACCTTGATATGCGATTTTTCATCTATCTGGTCAATGTTATTTAGGTAAACCTTATTTCCTATTTCCATTTTCTGCAATAAATTTAATCATTATAGAATTGTAAGGAAAATTAGCAACCTTTTAAAATGTACAGAACATCCTAACCAATAAGTAAAACAGAAAAATTATAAATCAACACATGACAATAACAACTGACTTAATGTACTCATAAATTTTTAAATTGAATAATTCATTTTATAATAAAATGGAATACAAACAAAAACAAATAATTCATATGAAATAATGTTTTAGATTGAATAAAAGTTTATATAATAAGATGGAACACAAATATATAATAAACATGAAAACGATAATTATACCAAAAATGCCCCTGCAACATACTAACACTAACAGATAACATAACAATGAGTAAAACAGAAAAATTAAAAATCAACACATGACAATAACAACTGACTTAATGTACTCATAAATTTTAAAATTCTAAATTTTTTTGAGATTGTATTTAGATAAAAACAAACAAATTTTAAAATTTCATACCATAAAAAAAAGTTACCGTGCACATCTGAAAAAGACTATTTTTAATTTTTTTCGAAAGAAAATGAACTTGTAATGTTCATTAGTTTTTCGTCTTTTAAACTGAAAAGGTAGAAGAAGTAGACGATTAAGAAGAATTACAAAAAAGAAGAATAATAAAAATCATACAATGAGAACGTGATAGATACAGATAAATAAGAACATGGAGGAAATAGAAATATTGGTAATTCTGATTTTTGAATACACTAACCTGATATTTAATTCTTGAAGCGTTGCAGAATAACAAAGAATGAAGAAGAATACGTTTGCTGTGGTTTCTATGGAGCAGAATTGTTATGGAGCAGAATGGTAAAAACAAAATAACTGTATAAATGATATTTACGTTTGCTGAAAAATACTGCAGATTTTTAGGGATTTAATGATTGCAATATATTGAATTTGCAATCAAAATAAACAAACTTTCAAATTTAATCGTGATTTTCGAATCTGATTATTCATTAACATATTTTTTCAAATTATTTCCATAATCTTTATTCATTTAAAATTAATGCATGAATATTTTGAATGCAGTTGACAGCTAAAATTTCCTGATATATTGCATCAGTTTGAACTTTTATTCAATTTTCGGATTCAATGGCATTTACGTAAATATAAAAGAAAAAATGAGCGGGAAAACTCTATTTTGGGGGGCTGGGAGAATGTCACGTGGCCGAGTTCTACTTATTTATTAGAATTAGGATTACTTAGACCATTAAAGTTTTAGGGGGTGTTTGGATAGGAAAAAAATAGGTGTTTATTGTTTATTCCCACAATAAGTTAATTTAAGTGTTTGGATAAAATTCAGCTTATTAGGCTAAATAAGCTAATTTTAATAAGCATCTCTCCTCATGCTTATTGCTTATTCCCACCACAAATTAAGCTATAAGCAATAAGCTAAAAATCTAATCCAAACACCCCCTTAAATTTGTTTAAAAAACATCATTCAAGTATTAAATATTCAAAGAATATCATCAAACTAATATATATGTTCAAAAAACACCAACGAATTACATGTTTTGTTCAAAAAACATTATTTCTATGGTTTGAAGTAACTTATATATTTAGTCCCTAATTTTTTTTTCTCAACTAGAAAGGTCCTTTTAGTTTAAATTTGTTTTAATTTTGGAACCTGATCGAGTTAAAAGACTACTATACCCTTATTACTTTCATTTAAGATTATTTTTTATTATTTATTAGTTACTTACATAATTTATGTTGTTATTTATTATAAATATATCAATTGTATAAATAATTAAAAAATAATAAAAATAAATACTTAATGAAAGTAATAAAAGTATATTAGTCTTTTAACTCAATCGGGGTCCAAAAGTAAAATAAATATAAACATTAGGGACCATCCGAGTTAAGAAAAAAGGTTAGGGACTAAACATGTAAGTACTCCAAACCATAGATATGATTTTTTTGAATAGAACATATACTTTGTTGGTGTTTTTTGAACATATATTTTAGTTTGATGATGTTTTTTGAATATGTAATACTTGAATGCTGTTTTTTTGAACAAATTTAAAACTTCAATGGTCTCCTAAATCATTATCTCCTTTTACTTTCTTACTTATTGAGTTATTGTTTCCAATATTTTACTTAAAATTAGAATGTTTTCGAAAACAATCCATCAATTTCACATATGATATTTGAGAATTGTTGATGTTATTTGAAAAAGTATGATCATATTAAACAAAAAGCAAACCAAAATTAAATTAACCGATATAATTGAACAATTAGTAAAAAAGGTGGTGCAGTTTCTAATTTTCATTAATAAAATACATATAGTTCAGTTATGGTTTTTGTCTAAAATGAATCATTATAAACTGAACCGAACCAATAATATTAGTAAACATTATTAATATAACAAAATATTAAATATATGATATATAATTATATTCGGAATTGATTTTTTAAAAATGTCATTATTTGGAGTTAGATATGATATGATCTTCTATCATATTAATATAGTTATATACTTTTTATAACAATGTACTTTATATTTTTTATTTTTTATAGCAAATTAATCATTCGCTTTTTATAGCACTGCACTTTATGTTTTCATTTTTATAGCAAATTATTTTTTATTTTTATGTTATTTTGGACCATTATGATTAACAAATGTCAACTATTAACTATAACCATTAACCGACTAAATCCGTTAACCAAAACCAATATTAATCAATATCTAATAGGTACTTAAATGCATTAACTACTTATAATGGTTATGGTTCGGTTTTGGCTAATAACCAAACCAAACTACTCCATACATACCCCTAAACCTTTTGTTTGAAAACATTGTTGATCATTTCGTAAACAACATTTGCAGACTAGAAACTCTACCG